CTCCCCCTCCTCCTCCTGTACTGGGGATTGAACTTGGGACCTTGTGCTTGTGCAGCAGGCACTGGAACCACTGAGCTAAATCCCTGGCCCTTTTTCATGGTATTTTCAAACTGTTTCTTTTCACTAATATGGAATCTTTCCCTTCCTCTCAATAGGCTGGTTAGTGATTATTGTAACATACTATTATAATTTTCTTTATTATTTCTAAGTCTGTCATGCTAGTTAATAATAACAGAATTGGTATTTAGGTTGACATCAGATATGTTATAGCTATAAGAGCCAGTTACTTTGCCTCTGTTTCACAACTGAAATAGACAAATGTGCCTACAAGCCCATCTAAAAAATATTACTGATCATAAGAATGTGACTGTCTTAGGGAAAAGTGTCACCACTGAAAACAACTGAAAGAATATGGTATAAAGAAATTGGATATAAAAGACTATACATATTATTTGGGTTTACTTAAATGAAATTTCCAAGCTGAGCATGGTGGTGCACATCTGTAATCCCAGCATTTGCGAGGCTGGGGCAGGAAGATAGCTGTGAGATTGAAGGCAGCCTTGGCTATATAGTGAGTTCAAGGCTGGCCTGAACTATACAGTGAGACCCTGTATCAAAAGGACAAATAAGGGCCAGGGATTTAGCTCAGTGGTTCTGCCACCTGCCTCAAAAGCACAAGGTCCCGAGTTCGATCCCTGGTACCAAAAAAAAAAAAAGACAAATAAACAAACCAAATGTCCAGACTAGGTGGTTGCTTGGGGGCCTGAAGGAGGAGGGCTGAAGGGTGGAATTTCTCTTAGGGTAATGAAAATGCCCTGAAAGTGATGTGGTGACGGTAGTAGAAAGCTGTGAATGTGCTGAAAGGCATTACATTTCACACTTCAAATTGGGGGGGGGCGCGAATATGGTGTAAAGAATATGGCCAAACATATTTGGTTAATATTGTGTGTTTCCTGAGGAAAGGGAAGTTAGCAAATATTTCCTCCTTTTCAACATGGCTGCTATGTTCCTTTGTAAGAAGTGGTGTAAGATACTCTGAAATTGATAAACTCATTTAAAAAATACATTTCCCTTTAAACATTTATTTTTTGAGTATAAAATAGGACAGAATCAAGTAAAAGAAGTATCACATGAATCAAGGAAAAGGATCAAAACTTTCTGCCTTTTCCACATAGTGCTTTATGGGAGTCAGTCCATTTTCCCCTTCAGTGGCACCAAAAGAGAAGTTTTTCTGTGCTTCATCATTAATGTATTAACATTAGAAGTCCTGGTTAGATGGGATTTAGGTAGGTTAATGGTAAAAGAATTTCCCTAAGCATAGTTTTAACACCTAATAAATACACACTACAGCAGGCAGATTTCTAAAATGCCCCTGGTGGACATACTTTTATAATTCCCTTTTAAGTACATTATGAATAGTCAGTAATATTACCTTAATGTCACGAATTTCATATGCTATCCTGTGGTCAGTGACTCTATCCTGGGTGAAATTATATGTCCGAATTCTCTCTGACTGAGTCCTGGTTCCCACCTGTGCCATAACAAAAAAGCAATTTATATTTTAATTACCTTCATCACAATGGAAAAAGTATTGGTGAATGATTTTCCTATTTTAACAGTTTAAGCATTTTTAAAAGTTACATATACAAAGTGATCCAGGCAAAAGCAGGTAGAATTTAATGTTAAGACTACAGCTTGGGGACTAATGAGTTAACTCTGTGGTAGACTACATGCTTAACATGCCCAAGGCCTTTGGTCTAATCCTCAACACTACCACCAGGGATTTAGCTCAGTGGTTCCGCTGCCTGCCTCGCAAGCGCAAGGTCCCTCCATACTACCAAAGGAAAAAAAAAAAAGACTACAGGTTTGTAGAGCTTAGATACAGAATGAGAATAAATGTCTATTTAATATTTTAAACTTTAAATTTTAAAACCAAATTAATTTTCTTTCTACCCCAATTAATCAGTTCTTCCTCCTGGTTTCTACTATGTGTTCCCTTTTATTCAAGTGGGAAACTGACATTCTGTATTCAAAGAATATTTCATGGAGTTTACTATCCCAGGCTTTGATAATAAAGACTCTAGCGGGCCAGGGATTTAGCTCAGTGGTTTCACCACCTGCTGCACAAGCGCAAGGACCTGAGTTCGAGCCCCAGCAAAAAAAAAAAAAAAAAAAGATTGTATACATACAATTTTCATGAGGTCAGTCTTAAATATTCATTTAAAAAATTACTATGTGGAACCTCTACTGCCAAAAATGTTAAATGGTAAGTAAATCCCCATGTCCTTTATTAGCTCAAATGTGGCAGAATCCCCACTATTTATCACTTACTTGCCACTGTAAATGAGCATTCCCATCTGCAAATGTATACACTGATGCTGCTCCACAATCTGGGATTACCACAGAGTGCTAATATATTATTTATCCTGCCACTTTTGCTATCTGCAAGTTAGAATGTGAGTAAAGAAAGCTAGAAAGACAAAAATGTGAAAGACTCAGACATATATGAAAAGATTTAATGCACTACTTAGATTTATGCAATTCATTAACTTAAAAGACCACAAACTCTTCTAAATTTGGTTTATTGAGCCGCATCTATCTGCATATATCACCAAAGCACAGTTATCCCTGAATTTTACTTTCTCTTCTAGATTCTCTCAGAGACAGACTTTACTTTTAGAATTCAATGGTTTGTTTACTTAATGAGATTTACTCAGTTTACACAGAATTTATCTACTTATGTATTTTGGGCACCAAATGTAGGGAACAGGGGAAGGGGACGTTACCAGAACCTCTGTAGTGAGTCCTACTCTCCTGCGAGCCATGGCAGCACACGGCGAATTACAGGAAAGGTAGACAAATGAGACTGAAGAAGCTGAGCTTTGGGTCTGATCAGTGCTGCTCTGGGCAGCAAAGACAAAAACCCCCTAGCTTGCAGCGCTTTTTATTCAGTACATGGGAAAACAGATGTAACAAGTAAAAAATGTAAAATTCAGTACTTTACAGTGAGATAAACAAGGTGTAAAAAGACTGGGGGTCAGTGAAAATCTAAAAACAATGAGGAACTATGTAGATAAAGATTTGGTTTCTCTCTGGTGACTCCCACAGGTGTGGTCTTGTCCTGGAGCATTACAGCATCCGGGGATCACTGAGGTCTCAGTTGTGACCCGAGGCCAAAATGTAATTATGTCTAAAATGTCGTAGCTGGTCTGTAGGCTGGAGAACTAGGCCTACTCAAATGATTTTTCCCTAGAATTATGTAGCATTGCTCCCAACAAATACATAACAGTATAAATATAGTAAACTACAAAATTCAAAAAGTACCAAAGGGTATACAATGTAAGACAGTCTTCTTCTTAGCCCTTATCTCTAGACTCTTATCAGTAGCAACCATGGGTCCCAGTGTTTTGCAGTATCACTTATATTCCATCACAGAGTTATAATAAAACTGGACCACACAGTGAGACCCTGTCTCTAAATAAATAAATAAATATAAAACAGTGACCTTTCTCTTTTCTTTCTTTTTTTTTTTTGAGACAGGGTCTTGCTTTGTAGTCCAGGTTGGCCTTGAACTCACTATGTAGCACAGTGTGGCCTCAAACTTGCAGCCATCCTCCTGCCTCAGCCTCTGGAGTGCTGTGATTACAGGTGTGTGCCACCACACCCAGCTCTAAAATGGTGATTTTTCTTTTTTGTTTTTGGTACCAGGGATCAAACTTGGGACTTTGTGCTTGTGAGGCAGGCAGCGGCACCACTGAGCTAAATCCTGGGCCCAAAAATGGTGATTTTTCATATAGCGTATTTAAATTATTACACCAAGTAATAAGTCTTACCTGAAGTTTTCTAGCACTTTGTTGCTGACACTTGTCTTTCTCAATAATCTCCTGGTAGAGTCTAGTTCTTAACACATGAAAAGCTATTTCTTTATTTTTTATCTGTGATCGTTCTTGTTGGCATTCTACTACTATCCCTGAAAAATAATAGAGACCAAAGATAAACTATAGCCTCCATAAAACTGATTTAAGTAGACATAAGGGACACTTTAAAGAGGAAAGGTTGCCAGGTGTGGTGGTGCATGCCTATAATCCCAGCACTGAGAGGCTGAGGCAGGAGGATCACAAGTTCTAGCCCAGCCTGGGCAACTTAGTGACTTGACAAGACCCTGTCTCAAAAATCAAAAAGTGCTGGGGATGTGGCTCAGAGGCAGTGAGGATTCAAAAAAAAAAAATTGAAGAAGATATTTCAGAACTAAAAAAACCATGAGTCTCCAGATTAAAAGCAACAAACACAACAAATTAAAAAGGCTTAAGTGTTCCAAGTAAAAATGATTGACAACCAAATGTCCATGATCAATGAAGTATAAAGTTAGAGTAAAGCTATTTTCAGGTATATGAAGTCTCAAAATATTTGTATCTTGGTTTTCTTAGAAAGCTACTGAAAGATAAGCTTAACTAAAATGATAGTAAACTAAGGGAGATGATATAGAATCCAAGAGACGGGAGATCTATTACAGAATAGAAATGAAGTGACCAGGAAAACCTCTGGCAGTGCCTTAGAGAGTAACTAGTCCAGCTGGGACCAAGATGATGGGAGTCTCTAGAAAGCGCTGGACCTGTAAAAAAAAAAATAGGTTAATTTCTCTTTACAGAGACATCAGAAGATGCAGAAAAGCTTTGAGTCAATGAAAAGAAAGCAAATAAGCCAGGCATGGTGGCACATGCTTGTAATTCCAGTACTCAGGAGGCTGAGGCAGGAGAATTGAGTTTGAGGCCAGTCTGAGCTACATAGCAAGTTCAAGGTGTGCCTGGAACATAGTGAGATCCTATCTCAAAGAACAAAACAAAGAAACAAAATAAACAAGACATTAAGCATATAAAAACAATAAGGTAGTGGGCCAGGGATTCAGCTCAGCTCAGTGGCGCCGCACCTGCTTTCCCAGTGCAAGGTCCTGAGTTCGATCCCTAGTACCAGATAAAAAATAAATAAGGTAATTTTTTTTTTTCGTACTAGGGATCGAGCTTTGGACCTTGTGCTTGCGAGGCAGGTGGCGGCGCCACTGAGCTAAATCCCCAGCCCAATAAGGTAATTAATGCTAGAGAAAGAAAACTATACTGCTTGGCTCAGTAGCAAACATTATTTACCTTCTCATTTATATGAAAACAGTGAAGATTAATTTTGCAAAATATAAACACTTGGAAAGAGGGGACATAAGAGCCAAAATGCTCATCTACCATATTAAGAAGTCAACATATAATCTCTATCATTAATTGATCAGAAAAGACTACATGCCTGTTACTTAGAAATGTTGATGTAATTATGAGAAGAAATAGCTGAAAGAACTTAATGAGATTGCCTCTAGGAAACAGAAACTTAGGGTCAAGGAAGGAGAGACAAGGAAATAGAAGAGATCCATGGAGCTCCTCTTTTTTTGTATAGAAGTTTACCAGTGGACTTGAAAAACCACATATATGTAATATCTAAAAAAGAAAAGAAAGTAAAAAAAGTTTAATCTGAAAAATGTTGGAAATACAGTCCATGTACACATAACAACATTTTGGTCAATGACAAGCTGCATACATGATGATAATTCCATAAAATTATATTACCTAGTGATATAAATGTCTTAGCTTGTGAACACCTTTGAATTTTTCACAATGATGAAACTGTTTAATGATGCACTTGTCAGCACATATCACAGGTGTGGTGGTGTGTGCCTGTAATCCCAGCACTGGGGAAGCTGAGGCAGGAACATCACCATGAGTTTGAGGCCAGCCTGGGCTACATAGTGAGATCAAGGCCAACCTGAACTACATAGTGAGTCTCTGTCTCAAAGAAACAAACAAAAAAACCCATCACTTTAAAGACTGCAAAATTGTCTCATGGTGTATCAAAATTAGCAATGTTCAAAATAACAGCAAAGCCTAACAGACTAATGCAGCTAGTAGTCCACTACAAGGTGACAAAAGATCAACAGCAGTGTCATGTCCCATACTGCTTCTATGTTCCATTTGTATGCGGGCTGGAGCGCCTGTGGCTGCTCACCCCCATCCAACATACTTGAGCAGCTTCTCTGAACATCTGCTCACCATCTGCACCATTTCCAAAAAGAAAGAGTCTATAAACACAACAGGGATCTCAGATCCACAATCCCAGCATCAATTTAGGATTCTGTATAAGGAACCAGACATTAACATAGAGCTCCTTCCTTCCAAATGCTGAATATGTGAAAAAAAAATTGATAAAAGTACAAAAGCAAAGGGATGTACTTACCCGTGGGGATATGGACAAGCCTGACAGCACTGTCTGTTGTATTAACATGCTGTCCTCCTGCTCCTTTGGCTCGAAATGTATCTATTCGCACATCCCTGTGGTCCACTTTCACATCTACCTTGAATAAAAGATATAGCACAAGTAAATTCTACACTCTATGGATCCTTTTTTTTTGAGACAAGGTCTTGCTATATAGGCTAGGCTATATGCCCTTGAATTCCCTAGGTAGCACAGGCTGGACCCTGAAGTTGCAATTCTCCTGCCTTCAACTGTTGAGTGCTAGGACAGGCATGTGCCACCAAGTCTAGCTTCATGAATATTTTAATATTAAATTTACCCTGAGGTTTTAAACAAATAAAATGAACTATTTTGTGTTAAGACAAGTAATAATTAGAGTATTTGTAGAAATAACTTATACCAAAGGAAGAACCATAAACTCCCTATTTTAGTCAAGAGTGCTCTGACTATACATTCTTGGTGAGATATAGTCTATGGACAAAAATCTTAAACATTACTCAATAATCTACTATTAGTAATGTTGGTACTATAATTAAAAATGTTTATATAATTATAATAACACATAAGTAAATATATTAATTATGAGACAAGATTTTTTACTCTAAGTGGAGAGAGATATAAAATGCAAGAAATTGAGGAGAAAAAAATCTCTGTAATGTTAAATTTGAATTGGCAATATGAAACTAATTTTAAAACATGTTTTTTAGTCAAAAAGTAAGGATAGGAGCAGGGATTTAGCTCAGTGGTTCCGCCACCTGTCTCACAAGTGCAAGGTCCTGAGTTTGCTTGCCAGTACCAAAAAAAAAGAAACAGAAAAAGTAAGGCTACTCTAGTAATAATGAGCACACTTAATACCCATAATCCTCATTTCTGGGTATGTTCCCCACTGATTCCAGGCTGAGAGACATATTCTGAGACTGACTGGCTCCAGGTCTGAAATAGGCATATACAAGATGGGCCTGGGATAGCTAATTGTTTGAGAAAGCAAGAATCAAATACTGATGATGGCAAAGGAAAGAGGTCACCTGAAAAAGGGTAACATTAGGCAAGTTTGGGACAATTTGAGCAGCAAAAAGAATAATGATTATAACTCACTGGATTAAAACATATATCCATGAATCTATAATAAAGTCAGTATATGAAACTCAATATGACTTTATAATGACATCAAATAAAAGAGAAAGAAAGTGCAGCAGGGAGGGAATAGAAGGCAATAGGGAAAGCAGTTCTTTACAGAAGAATGCCCGTTAATAAATGTAGAAGGAATGACAGAATTAGAAAATCACCATTTTAAAATCCCAAACTAAATAATTGATTCATGGGGGGATCACCAATGAATGTTAAAACCATGGGTGGAAGGTTGGGGATAGGATGTGTACTCTTGAGATTACTTAGTATTTGCAAAAGGGAAAATATACCTTTACAATGTTGATTTTTGGTCACCATCCTAACTAAATGCTCAAACTATGTTTCATGAAAGGTGGGACAATGTGACATTATATGCCTCCAGATGCAACATGACTCTAATAGCAAGTATGAAATATTCTTGCTCAAAAGCTATAAATTGAGCTGGGGGTGGTAGCGCAGTTCTGTAATCCCAGCATTCCAGGAGTCAGAGGCAGGAGGATTGCAAGTTCGAGCCCAGCCTGGGCAACTTAGTAAGACCATGTCTTAAAATAAAAAGTTAAACAATGGGCTGAGGCCAGGCATGGTGGTACATATCTGTAGTCTTAACACTCGAGAGACTGAGGCAAGAGGATTGTGACTTCAAGAGTTCAAGGCCAGGGCCGGGGATTTAGCTCAGTGGTTTTGGTGCCTGCTTTGAAAGCAGAAGGATCTGAGTTGATCCCCAGTACCAAAAAAAAAAAAAAAAAAGAGTTCAAGGCCAACCTGGACTACATAGTGAGACCTTGTCTCAACAAAACAAAAAGCAAAACAAAAACAAAAAAAAACGCTGGGTTGTAGCTCAGTGCAAAGGTCCTAGGTTCAATCCCTAGTATCGAAACAACAAGAAAAACAAAACCACACTCACACACACAAACAGAAAAACAAAAGATAATGTGATAAAAGAAAAAGTTGGGAGACAATTCCAGACTTAAAGAGCTATAACAATTGCAATGTGTAAAACTTAACTGAATCCTAGTTTAAAAATAGCTATGAAAATACTTTTGGATTGATTGGGGAAACTATAAAATAGATTACATATTAGTATTATACAGTTATGGTCAACATTCATAGATAATATTATACTTATGTAGAAGAATATACTTATTCTTGGTAGATGTACATGGAAGATTTGAAGAGTAAAGTCTAATGTTATACCATAGGTATAAAGGACAAAGATATAGCATATGAAAGAGATAATTTATATCCTTTATAGAATCATTATAGATATAAACACACACATATAATATATAGAAATTAAGCAAATGTGAGAAGATATAAACAACTGCTGATTCCCGGTGAAGGTCATAAGTTTTTATTGTGGTACTCTTTCAACTTTCTGTATGTTTAAAACCTAAAAAGTCAGCAAAGAAAAATATAGTGAAGATGGCTGAATTCAAACAGCTAGATACAGAGACTCCATTTTGACTTTGAAATAGTATCTGTGGAATTCATTTTTTTCTTAAGACAAAAGATAGATCTTTAGCATAAAGGAAGGGGACCAATGGATTAATAGAGGGGAAAAGAAGAAATAAAAGAATGTACATGTACCAACTCCCCATGATGAATGTACTCATTATATACTGCAAACATGTACTAATAAAAAGAAGCTGGGTAACAACATATAAGAAAATCTGTGAATTCAGTTTTTTGAAAAGAAGTAATTTCTATTTTAAACAAAAGAAAACAATATATCTTAGTTGAGAATAGGAGGGGCAGATGGGCATGGTGGCGCATGCCTATAATCCCAACACTTGGGAGGCTGAGGCAGGAGGATCACTGTGAGTTTGAGGCCAGCCTGGGCTACATAGTGAGTTCAAGGCTATCCTGCACTACAAAGGAAGACCTTGTGTCAAGAAACCAAAACCATTTAAAAAAAAAAAAAAAGAAGGGGGGGGCAAATTTTAACCACAAAAACAACACATTTTCCTAGAAGCTAAAGCTTTTCAGCACAGTACCCATGTACATGGAGTGAGTTTTCAATGCCTCTTGGTGCAGTTACCTCATCTGGCTGAGGAAGGACAATGACTGACATAGTTCCTGTGTGAATACGCTGCATTCTCGATGACAGGCCCACCTCAGGGATTCGCTGAACTCGGTGGATCCCACCTTCATACTTCAAATGCTTGTAGACATTCTCACCAGAAATTCGGGCAGCTGCATGATGTAGTCCACCTACAAAAAAAAATCTGAAATATCAATGAGCTAGCCATGGTGGTGGCATGCCTATAATTCCAACAGTCTAGAAGAGGCAGGAGGACTGCAAGTTTGAGCACAGCCTGGGAAATTTATTGGCTTAGCAACACCCTGCTTTAAATAAAGAGCTGGGGATGAAGCTCAATGTAAAGACCTTGGATTCAGGGGCCTGGGATTTAGCTCAGTGGTGCTGCTGCCTGCCTCACAAGTGCAAGGTCCTGAGTTCGATCCCCAGAACAACAAAAAAAAGACCTTGGATTCAATTCCCAGTACAGGAAAAAAAAAAAGATAAATTAAGGAATTCTGGTTTGAGAGGGATCAGCATTCTAAGACTCCTTTATCTAAGGACTGAATATAAGTAAAATACCTGATAAGAACGTAAAGTCAGTATAAAACTCTATTTTCCCAATGTAAATATATTAATATATAAAAAGAAATATAACAAAATATTATTTATGGTTATCTCTGGGGAACCACAGTAACAGATTACATATATATATATATATATATGACTTTTTTGTTTTGTTTTGTATAACGAGACAGTGTCTCACTATGTAGTTCAGGCTGGCCTTGAACTCACTATATAGCCCACGCTGGCCTCAAATTCACAATGATCCTCCTGCCTCAGCTTTCTCAAATTCACAATGATCCTCCTGCCTCAGCCTTCCCAATGCTGGGATTAGAGGCAGGTGCCACAACCCCCAGCTTTCATGTTTATATTTTTTGTTTGCAAGTTTTCTATAATGAGCAAGTTTTACTATTATAGTAAGACAAAAATACTGGAAAAATATACTGGGACATTTCTTGAACTACCTCTGCAATCTTAGGCTGATATGGCATTATATATATAAAAGAACATGCAGCAGTAACATAAAAATTTCATAATGTTGAATAACTCTATAGGCCTTTCCAAGTTTTTTATGGGTGCAAATTGTACTGGGGATTGAACCCAAGGCTTTGTGCACAGAGGCAAGTGTTCTACCACTGAGTTACATACATTCCTAGCCCTTTCAAAATTTTATTTTGAGATAACATCTCAGTAAGTTCCCCAGGCTAGCCACAAATTTGCAATCCTCCTGCCTTAGCCTCCTTAATAGCTGGGATTACAGACCTGTACCAACATGTTCAGCTCAAGTTTTTATAAATTTCTTGAAAGTTATATTTGCTTCGCTGTCGAGTGGGAAAATTATCACACAAACAATCTTAATACCCAGCTAGGCTCAGCTTCTTATATTACTGTAACATGCTTTTAAAAACTCTTCTTTATGATACAATTAATATTCAGATACAGAAAACTACAACAAACAAATAGACTATATGGCTTAATAACTACCACTCAGGTCAAGAAAAAGAACTTTGATGGTCACCTCATAAACCCTCTCATATGTCTTTTCCAGTCATAATCCTCACTCTTCCCCATGAATAAGCAATACCTGACTTTTATTTCTTCCTTTGTTATAACTGTGTTAGCTAAATGTGTACCACTAGGCACTATAATTTAGTCTTGTCCATTTAAAAGAAATTGAGGGGATATATCTCAGTGGTAGTTTGTGCTTAGCGTACTTGAGGCTCTGGGTTCAACTTCAGCCCCCTCAATTACGCCTCTTAATCCATATGTTCATCATCCATTTCTTTCATTTCCTACAAATTAACATGGACTATTGACCTGTAGAATTTCTAACAGTCTGGTTTTGCTGATTACACTTTTAGTGCCCTTTAACCTGTTCTGCTGTCCTCTGTATTGGGTATAATTTGGCAGCTGGGCCCAGAGACTGGATTGGACATCCATTTGAGCCCTTTGACAAGACTACAGGAGACATGTGATGTCTGGATATCTCTCTTGTTATGGTCTTGACTACCTTTGATGCTTAATACATCACTGGGGATTCAAATACTTTAATATATCATTTTATTCCGACTTAGTAATTAAAATATATTTATAGAAATATCTAGTTCCTTTTCTCTACTATTTAATTACCCAGTGATATAATCATATAAGAAAAGCAGGATAAATGATTGATTCTATCCCTTTAATGGATATACACCAATATTACTTTTTGTAGTAGAAAGAATTAGGTCCTTTTTTTTTTCCTTTGGTACTAGGGATTGATCTCAGGACCTTTCGAGCAAGGCAGGCACAGTGCCACTGAGCTAAATCCCAGAATTGGGTCCTTTTAATTCACTGAAGATGGGGCTGGGGATTTAGCTCAGTGGTTCCCCTGCCTGCCTCGCAAGCGCAAGGACCCGAGTTTGATCCCCAGTACCAAAAAAAAAAAAATTACTGGGCCGGGGATTTAGCGCAGGGGTTTCACCGCCTGTTATGCAAGTGCAAAGACCTGAGTTCGATCCCCAGTACCAAACAAAAACAAAAACAAAAACAAAACAAAAAAAAATGGATTATTAATTCACTGAAGATGACCAATTATTTTTTAAAATATTATTATGAGTTCAAGGGTATAAACTCATCTGGCATGTTTAAATCAGTTGTAATTATTATTGAAGCTCATTTTTAGCCAATGGGAGCCTCTTCCACTTCTGAGTTCATTTGATATGCCCCTTACTACAGTAGTATAGCAAGATCCTCCAGGATTATCTGAAATGTTTCTTGACACAAGAAATCACTCTTATGGCTGGGGATTTAGCTCAGTGGTTCCTCCGCCGCTTCAAAGGCGCAAGGTCCTGAGTTCAATCCCCAGTACCAAAAAGAAAAAGAAAAAAAGAAATCACTCTTACAAGGTATTGTATGGTCAAAATATACAGTGAATGTATAAATTTTAAAAAATTTTTACAGTGAAAGACACATTGTCATTAATTCCCCTCAAATACTCTCCCTTGCTTTGAACACACTTATCCCATTGTTCCTGCCACTTCCTGAAGCAGTCCTGGAAGTCTTTTTTATGTCTTTACAAGGTGTGATCAAAGCATGGTAAATGCTGCTGCTCATGCCATCCAAAAGAAAGGCATACTGTTAAAACCTTATAGCACTGTAAATTCTTGTGATTTCCTGGGATTAGTGTTGGTTCAAAGCCAGTGTCCAGTAGTCTCTGAAAGACTTTATTTTATTTTATTTTTTTATGGTACCGGGGATCAAACTTGGGACCTTGCGCTTGCGAGGCAGGCGGTGGGGCCACTGAGCTAAGTCCCTGGCCCTCTGAAAGATTTTATTATTCCTCCCTCCCTAGTGCACAGTTCCACTGTTAAAATGCTGTAGCTCCCTTTGGGAAGGCTGAGAGAAAGGTTAATAATATACACATTTTGGCAGTGTACAAGGGTCTTTCTTCAAGGAGACACATCCCCTCTTCATTCAAGGCCTGTAAACTTGTTCAAGTCTGGGAATTGATTGAGGACCCATAAAATCTCCGCTTTTATAATTCAAGTTAGACTTTTGTTCACTTGAGCTAGAAATTTTCTCTTGTACAGATCAAGAAAGAATTCAGTAGGTTTCCTACTATTTTACTCATCGGAACACTGATCCATGCAGTAAGTCTACACAATCAGATTATTCTGATTGCTTCTTTGACTCTGTTGTCCAATAACTGGGCCCACACTGTCTTTGGCAGTTGAGTGCCATCATCTAGTTCCTACTACCCTGTATCTAATTATTCCCACTGCATATAGGTTTCCCAATTAATGACCAAAATTCCTACTGTAAGCTCTGATCTATAGAGAAGAGTGATTTCACAAGGCTCTTCACTGCTCTTAAGGCTCCTTTCAAAATTTATTTCTCACAGTCTTAGTGAAAGGTATGTCTTCTGGAGACATAAATTAATCATTACATTATTTAAGTAAACTCTCCTTGAATTCAACTGATGTGTAGAGATTAACAACACAAAATTACAAACATTTTTGTTGGAGGTGGAAGAAATAATGCAACATATTTCATAGTATCCCTTTAACTTAGAAAACATTTCAAGTCATTAGATACCACCTTACAGAAAATAGTGTCAGACCTGTACTACATATCAAGGGCCATTACCCTCCCCTATTTTCACAAAGACTATTTTACAATCACTTAGTTTGGACTGCTGAAGTACACAAAATTATGATTTTAAAAGTTAATATATCTGGGCCGGGGATTTAGCTCAGTGGTTTTGCCGCCTGATGCGCAAGTGCAAGGACCCAAGTTCGATGCCCGGTACCAAAAAAAAAAAAGTTAATATATCAAATTTGCATTAAATTGTTTCTTTTCAACCTCAACTTTTAGTGTAGCATGAATTTCAGTGGGTAAGTGTAAATTCCTCTGTATTTTAATTGAACATTGTGAAAACAACAAATAATATATA